TAACCAACGCAGAAAAAACAGTGACTTGACTGGATGAGTATGTCTGTTTGAGTTACTACAACTCTACGCTCCGCCCCCGACAGTTGGGGTCGAATCGGAGACGATGATAGAGCTATTCCTAAACTTACTCCTAATTAGGGCATGTCCTGCCAATGGGAAAATTTTTGCAAAATACGGCCTACTCAAAATCTCCCTTGGTACGACCTCTCTCCCCCTCGAAACTTCCCCCGCCTGATACGAGCTCTTCCGCAGCTCCCATCTTACCTGCCATCTTCCTAAACTGTCTCCACTTTTGCCCACTTTCAACCACGTTTCCGGGGAAATTCTCCTTCCTCCCCCCCTACCCGAACCGCCATCGAGGGATGGACGTAAATATACTCAAAATTCCTGCTATTCGGTAGGCGTGGCAGCGGCTGAACAGAATAAAGATGACAGTTGCGTCCAATTGGAATATCCCACAAGTGACCCATCCTATGCCATGTCCGAATGCGGCGCCTATTCCGCCTAAGGGATAAGCAGTGTAGCTCACAGTATTCGCGATCCAAAACTTTGATACGACACGGAAGGGCACCGAAAATTCAGGAAATTACAAATTTTCAATTTAGAATCAAAACGCTGCTGCTAGAATCAAATCCGTGAAAATCGGTAACTAGTTTTCAACGGAATCAGACTTCACTGGTTAATTTGCCCGAAGAACTGCCAGAGACTATTATTACTGTTTTATTACTGAATTTTCGTTGTGTTATATGACTTCTTCGCCGTAATTCCTGATGAGCCTTCCTCACAACGCATGGTTAAGAGTGCTCACAGGAATGAATTTCTATTTCATTTTGGCACTAACCATGGACTAACACAGAAGATGGACGATACTCCATTCAAGAATATGTCCGAGATCACATCAAAGCCAGACCACCGTGCTCACAAGAGACGGTCAAGACAATCGTAGCTTGTCGCTCCATGCACAGGACGCATCGTGCGGCGATGGGCGCTACACGTTTTCTCAGAGGACGCTGACCTGTCGACGGAAGTGGCGGACTTCATGTGGAACTACAGCATCGCATGCACATGTAGCTGTTTTAGGTCACACATCGTCATCAAAATCCTTCTGTTATACCTCGACCTTTGCGGCCACGACGTCGCAGGCCTTACCTCAGCGCGACCATTTACGACTGTCTTGTCACATACCCCCTCCAGCCCAACCAGTATTCGTCGAAGCGTTGTCTGGAAGTTGTATTTCGGACAGATGAATCACAGTCACAGTCAGCCTTCTCAGTTTTTCTTGATGATTCATTTTCTCGTTTCACACGCGCTATAGTACATATGTAATGTGGCAATTCCATTTGTGATAGTCGGTCTGATGCATTTTCCTTCCCCCCCCTTGCCAAACGTGGATGGGATCGCGTTGAAAGAATTAAAGAAAGCTGGAAAACATATGGGCGGCACTCCTTAACAAACCATCATAATATCGCAGTAAATATTCTGTAAACGCCTGCTATAGGCCTGGTGGTGCTATCGCGAGCGTCATCGCGGCTGAACTGAAGTTCTGACGAAGCCGAAGAAGTCGAAAACGTTGGCCAAAGAAACCGTGAAAAGCCTTGGACTTCTCGAGCTGACCATTTATGTGAAACCACAGCAATGTTTCAAAACAATTTTATGGCAAAAAGGCTGGTTATCGTCAAGTTCACGGGACATGTCGCGGCAACCACGGGGTCCACTGCATTTCATATCATCGGAGGGAATGAAATCAAAGCATTGTGCATTTTGAGGCATTTCGCTTCCATTGGGATGCCGCATCGGAAATTAACACACAGCAGGTCCATGGATGGTTGTTTCTTTTTGCGAAGAGCTGCACTCGAGTTTCTCAACCAACTATTAGGCTGAACGTTTCGGTGGGATCACCTTCAATAGAGATGATTAGAAGGAAGGAATAATCATCTATCAATATGCCGAGGTTCATTGAAAGTCGAACATGGTGACAGTTCATAAATTTAATCGGCACTATTTACCCTTTACTGCTCCAATCTTCCAAAAACAGGCCAGTTTTTGACCGAGTTTTTTCTG